TCTCACCGCAGTCGATTTCGTGCCCCCTGCAGGCTTCTGGGAAGGACAGCCCCAATGGCGTGTTGCAGATCAGTCCGCTGTCGTCATTGCCGTCGGAGCATCTGTTTGCTGATCCGGTAGATCTAGGTGCTCAACCTCAACGTCGAAGGCCTGTTGGTTTCTTTTCTTGATCATGGTAATTATTTTCCTTAATTTCAATCTACGTATTAATGTGCCTTAACTGGACTGATGAATGAATGGCACTAACAGTTTGCTGCTCCTACTTTATTTTTGCTTCGTCAGATGCACTGGTGAGACGCAGCAACACTCTGCTAGCTAGCTGTTCGTTAATTTGGTTTTGAGAAAGATAAACTGGCAGCAGAGATGATATGTTCCATGTGCATATTTCCTGGGAGGAGTTCTTCAAAAGATCATGTGATTCATTGTTTCCCAACTGATATCTGGAAGATTTGATGAAATTGCAGATCAAGCAATGGTTTTTTTTTTCTCAACATGTGAAATACTTGCATTTTAGCATCAGGGCTTGGGTTGGGAAATAACAGTTTGGTCATCAGGGCTTGGGTTGGGAAATAACAGTTTGGTTTGGAAAATTAACTGGTACAAATCAGGTTAGTAAACTTTTTTTTGTAAATAACATATTGGTTCAGAAAATTGGTTGCTTATCTCCAGTTTCCTTTGTTTTGTTGTAGCACAAAGCAGATCTGTGTCTTAATCTTAGGGATGGCATTAGCGAAAGTTAATTGTGAATTGTTGCAGGATCAGATAGCATAACAGGAGAGATGCTTGAGACCATAGAGTACACTTACAATAAAGAAACCACATTTCAAGGAGCAGAGTTTCTATTGACTGGATTTCCTATGCATTAGAAGGAAAAAGAAATTGATTCCCAGATACAGTAATCTGGTGTTGATGGACACGCCAAGGCCAACCGGTGATCGGGTACCTTTCGGGGACCTTACAAATACAATACATGGAGGTGTATAAACTTTTACAACATCTCTACATATTCTTTGTTCATATGTTTGCAACTCACCAAAATTTATTGAAGTGAAAAAAACCTCCCACACTGTAGATTGCGATACTGCCTCATGGTTTTATTTTATTGATTTGATTGATCAACTATTGTCGAACTTGTTAGGCTCTTAGGATGCACTTGATATGTGCTACACGTTGTTTCTTATTATCATTACTCCTAGCCTGCGTCACGAAACTTGCCTTGTGGAATGCTGATATGCTCTTGATTTCTTTGGATTATGAAATTTTTCTGTCAACTGTCAATAGTATTAAGTTTGATGAGAAAAAAATTTGTGACATTCTGGTGTGCAACCAGTCAGGCAGGATAATAAGCAGAGGAGGATTAGTCTGTTGGAGCTTCCTGCACTAAATACTGGAATAGTTTCCACAAAGCAGCATGTATTTCCCCGATTGTTCACTTTTCCTTTAACTTTGCGTAAGATAGACATGTTTTCTGTAGAATATAATAGCTATCATGTGGTATGATCAGTTCAGTTTGGCAGCGTTTATGAGTCTGACTTTGTGATTTTAGGTGTTCGTGAGGGCTGATAACCACAAAGTATGGAAAACACCCTCCCAAAAATGATGTAAGTTCAGTTTACTTCCTGTCCTGTCCATGTGGAAATGTTCGGAGTCCCTAGCATGTTAAAATCGTGATCCTGAATTCAAATTTTAACAACTATGATCCCTAGAGTGTCACCTTGCTCATCAGTCATCAAAAGTTGGGATTTCTCAACAATTCTTGCTAATCCTTGTGAATCTATGTGTTACATATAATTTGCATCAAGATAAAATAAATATTTAGTCAAGTTCTGATTGCAACATGCTGTTTTCATATTTCTCACATATAGATGACACAATGAGTCGATGAAAGAATTTGGAAGCTGCACTTGGGCCTTTGTCTGCACACAGTGAGGATTACTCCACTGTATCATGCCTGAAAAGATAGAAGCCCATAACTGTTGCCAAGTTAAGAAAAATGTTGGAGGAAATACTCAAGTGGAGGGAAGCTTACATGCCAGAATGTAAACCAAGTATTTAATTTCACAGTATTGTTATCTTATCGTGCGATCTATGTGTTTTTAGTACAAAAGTTTAGCTGTCCCGTAGCAACGCACGAGCATGAACCTAGTGTTAAAAAAAAGCTCAAATGCTAGTGAAAATAATGTTATATTCACACTTGTCAGTATGGACTCCTGCAAATTAAACAAATATTATGTCATACGCCTAATGGAGGGTCCAGGAGGACAGGCTATAGGCCCAGGAGGGGCCCGAGCTGGCCACACCCTGTCCAACCGCGCCACCAGAGGGGCGCGCCCAGGGGTGGGGGCGGTAGTCCTCCGCCACGCTGTCAGTGCCCATATCTGACAATAGGAATATGATCGGTTTAGATTAGATAGATCGGGAGGAGTCCATATATATAAGGACTTTTCTCATTATATTACTTAAGATGCAAGTCTACTCAGGACTATAAATAGAGAGGCGATGTAATCATTGAAATCAAGAGAGAACAGCCTAAGGGCTTCCCTATCCCTCCCTCTCCTCTCTCCCTCCAGCGTCTCCCTTCTCCTCTCTCCCCCAAACCCTAGCCGCCACCACCATAGCCGCCGCTACCCCCAGCCCTAGCACACCAGCCCCCCTCCCCAGGTTGGGCTCTGCTATATTATATTTAAAAAAATATTTATATAATCCAAAACATACACTAAATGGTACAATAAATAAAAATAATTATTAAGTGCAAAAATACATATAGAATCCATAGTCAATTTTTCAAGCTGTACATGCATATTCAGGAATGTCCAGTTGTGGGTTTCTAGAAATAAGTATCTAATTTGGATCATTGGATGTAAATCTGATTTGTTGGTTGCTTCTCCATTGCTACTAGCCATTACTGTAAAATTTCCATAAATGAAAGTGTACTCATTCCTGCCGTATATATCCACTCAGTTGAGAATTGAGATAAATAGTTGTGCACAATATTCCACTGGATGAACAGTATCATTGGATGATAAACTCAAAAGGTTAAGAGATGCATAAATTATTTTTATTGCCACACACTAGAAAACAAAATAGATGTACATTATGCCAATCCAAGTGCACTAGAGCCATCTGCACTAAAGAAACACTACTTCTTTTTGTTCTTTTTAGGTCTATATATGGTGCAAAAATATAGAACATGTTTGCAAGTTATATGCTCTAATTATTGTCTGCGTTACTATCCAATTGATATATACGAAACATGCATGTGAGGAGGATGGTCCCGTTTTAGTAAAATAACGACTGCATTTCCACTCAAACGATACCTATGCTACAAAAAAAAAAAATTGTACAGTCAATTGGTAACCCTTTTGTACAAGCGTTTAAGCAATCGCCACTCATGTTCCATAGGCAGAAAATGGACAGCCTCTGTAGTCTGTAGAAATCGGTACCAAAGAAAGCAGCGCAAACAGTATTTTTTGCACCAGGGCCAACTCACAAAGCCAGAATAAAGAAATTTCTTTATCCAAACTTGGCCGTTGTAAGCCGTCACAAAGTGCCCAAGTCAGCTTAGCAGACTTCCAAATCAGCACAATTCCTGCACATGCCCAATTTAGCCATCAATACAATCATTTTTGCCATGCCCTTGGAGAGTTCTTCCTAAACACGCAAAGTTGGCACAAACCCTATCACAGGCCCCCATAATCCCCATGCCCGATCTCTTGCGTTGGCCCAGGCTGAGGCTCGCCATATTGAACATGTCAGACTTCAGTTATTCAGACTGCAGTTCCCTCTTCAGTTTTCAGTAGCACTCCATCCTCCATCTGACAGAACAAGTCTGACCACTCACCAAGCTCCCACCAAACTGCGCCTATATACTCTGTTTAATTCCTGCGTTAAGTGTAATCCCCGGTCCATGTATACGAGGACCCGAGGTTGCCTGTAACGCTTATGCCATTCAGCATGAACTCAGAACCCTAGCAGTAGCACTGCAGTGGAGTACGTGTCCAATACTCAATGGATTGTATATTTGTATATGGAGATTCTCCAGTTATCCCTGAATACAAGTTGCTGCTTGTCATGTTAGAAGATGGCGCGGCAAAGATTAGACATAGGAAAGCGATCAAGTCATGGGACTCGGGCCGGCTTCTGTGGTAACAGTTGTGTTGGGCTGCGTCGGTCTGTAGCTGATGTATATAGGTTCCTGCCCTGGTCTTGTATAAGTGAAAAAAAAAGCGAAAGGGACATCGGAGAACAGAATTCTGAATCCCCAAACGTGCCTTCTTCCTCGCAGGTTCAGCCGTGCCCTCTGTATCTTCAACTGAATCAGTTCTGTTCTCGAACATTCTTCTTGCTTCGGAAAAAAAAATTCTTCTTGCTACTCTATCCCAAACTCTTATCCAGCTTCCATTCTTGTGGCTGAGTTCGGTGACACTGCTTGATTTCGTTATTGGTTGCTTCCCAATTCTCCTCAGTTCCTCGCAGAATAACCCTCGACCCCAGTCTCAGCTCACCTCCATGTGCTTGTGCACAGAAAAATTTTGAGTGCCCATGAGAGAAATATCTGGGCATCAATGATCTTCTCCATCCTATCAGTTTCTTTGCTTTTGACTTTCATCATATATGGGAAAAACATTGTAATAATGAAATAAGCAGCTCTCCTGTGTCATTATTTCAAAATGGAGCTCTAGAGAGGCTTCCAGTTAATAGCATATGGAGAACAACACAGATCAGCCTTACAAATTATGGACTCCGCCTCAATATGAACAGGAGGAGCATACAGCCACTGTTAGTAACTTCCTATCTGCCTATCTAAACTTCACTCCTATAGTCTCATTTTTTTTAAGAAACCTATAGCCTTTCATTAGTCATCCCCCTGGATGTTAATCCAAACTAATCTTTATTCCGTTTGACATAAGCCAACACTCTTCAGTTAGGAAATTCATGCATTCTGAGGAGTTCTGATATATTGATTTTCTCAAAGTCAACAGAAGTACATAGAACTGAGTTCAGGGAAAGGAAGACAGAATAGACTTGGCGCTCCTAGTGCATGCCCCACGCGCCCATCCCAACTGTGATTTCTCATTGTCATATATCACCATCTGATCCTGCATCGTGATGTCTACAAAACAAAAGTCAAGACAAGTTAGTACACAAAAAAGATGCATTGCATCCAAATCTCAGAAATTTGGTACTGTATGACTGCACTCTGTACCTCCAATTACGTTGAAACTCAGCTTGGCAGCCGCTCCATCAAGGATGCCCAGGCACACATTTTCATTTTTCTGGTACAAACATGTAAGACAATTTAGCCAAGATTTTGTTCTCAAAATAAATGTGGTTCAACTGCTGGTTAGTGAATTGAGTGTCAAGAGTTTACAGTGACAATGAGGTAGTTTTCAGGAGGGATCTCCATGACGGCATTCTTGGCACTGGCAAAGCTCAGAAACAGTGACTTGAATTCCTTCTTGACGTCAAACACAGATTTGAATGCTTTCTGGCCTTTCCAGCACAGAGGCAGACTGGGATCTGACACCTGTTTAAGTGATTTGCTGAGACCACCTTTGAGCTGCAAGGCCAGAGTACCAATAGTTCAGTGTTTGTTTCTTGAAAAATTCATGGAAATCAGAACAAATCATGGTTGAAATATACCGCAGAAACAACAGCTTGGTATGGCTGAGCAGTAAAATAGGTATAGGTGCTACCACTGTCAAATACCACCTCCATTGGCTTCACGCCTAGTGAACGTCTATCGAAGTACAGTGTTCCTGAGCCAGGTGAGTAGTAGTTCCTACAAATGTGTATAATGCATCAAACAAAATGAAAAAGGGGAAAAGAACTTAAGGATGCCCTTATATACAAATCCTTCGTATGGGATCATCCATGATGGAGGAATTCTCATCATTCACTCCAGGTTGTTGTATTTTTAGAGAATGGCCATTCATTTGGTAAACTGGCATCAAAATCTTTAAGTAGACTGGGAATGATAAACAAGAGTATAAACTGTTTGAAAACTAATAACATCAGTGAGCTGTCAAGGAAACTGATGCAGAAAATTGGCCTTTCAATCCAAAGGGACAAAAAGGATAATAACTTAAACTAATCCTATAAAGGTCTATATTGACCTTAGGACCATATTTTTTTTTTGTATAAAAACCTCAAGTCCATGTTGTAATAGAATGCTAACAAACTTGCAGCAATCAAATAAACTATGCCTTTTCTTGATCCTTTTCAAAATTAAGAAGCGTGCACGACAAATACAATGTAACAGCGATACAAACACCAGCTGTAAAGATGCTTACCCAGATGTATTCGCCATTGGTACCCAAGTTACACGTGACGTAGGCACAATATCATCCCCAAAGAAGAGGAAGCCCCCTCCATTGGTGCTGAGGCAATGGCCAAGGACATTCTTGGTGATCCCTTGCTGCTTGAGCTGTGAAACGAGGCTAACTGATCCCCTCCCAAGCCCAAGCATGCCGTCAGTCGCTGCCTGCACAGCTCCATTTTTCCCCACTTGCTGGTCATATCCACATCTGTGCAACACAGAATTAACCGTTAGCAGCTGAACCCAGTGGCATTCATCAGACAACGTTAAGTGTTATACCCAAATGTGAGGCCAGGACGAATGTTGGAGGATCTCATGGGCAGTGAGAAGTTGTCGTTGATCAGTACACCTTGAGAAGATGCACTGTCAGTGTACTTTATCTGATAGTCGCATTGCTTCGGTGAAGGGCATTTGTTATTGGAGCCCTGTCCACTGTGAAGTGCAGTGCAGAGTGCGTTTGCACATGGTACAAGGCTGTTTGCCGTTGGTCGATATAAGGGATGTGGCACCTGCAACGGAAATCAGGAACACAACATCAAGGACCAAGCCAAGATTCTTCTACATATGCAAATAAAGATAATGTCATCACTGAACGGGGAAAAGTCAGTCAATGTGAGGTGATTTGAAGCAAAACTGATACCAATTCCTAGGTCAAACCAACAGGCCATCTTGGAATACACAGACAACTAGACGAGTCATAGTTACACCTGAAGCATGCTTGATGTAAAGAAAAAATTGAACCTGAAACAGATAACATGTTCTTTTGAAACACTGGTACAGAGTTCATTCTGTCATGGATACAATGATCGGAAGAATTTCAGCCAAACACGATGCATCCAGTAACAAAGAATAGAGTTATGACGCAACCCTGAAGAATGCATATGCAGCATTCAGTCAAAAGTACCTTGTTGCAGCTCCGACAGGGTGCGTCGCACTGCAGCCAGGTGAGATCACTGCCAGTGTCCACGTCCAGGAAGTATGGCTTCGCCGGGTTCCCAATGTTCATCGTGACATAGTAATGGCTGAAGATGTAGAGGAAAGTGTCAGGTTTTGTACACAAGTGGATGCTCAAAACCTTATAAACTTCGATGGAATCAAGGGTAAAAGCAATCTGATTCTTGTTTCCTAACAAGTAAAACTGCAGGAGAAAAACAAGCAGAGGATTTTTATCCTTTTTTTCTTCTTCATCGGAATGGAGAATTTGGAGTTATTACTGAGGAACAAAGAGCAAGCAGAGGCAGGGGAGCATAAGAGCAAGAACAGAGGAAACAAGGAAATTTTCCGTAGGGGTAAAAGTCAATAAGTCAATGCCCATACAAGCTCCCAACAAGGCAACAACCTGAAAGTAGTTCGCAAAGGGTTCACCACATTTGGTTGCAGTGAAGAGTAGCTTGATGCTCTGGAGTGCTGATGGAAACGGCAAACAAGAAGCTTGAAGCCAGCAATGAAAAGTGAGAGATAGAGATAGTAAAAAATCCGTAGAATTGCATAGACACAGGCAAGAAAGGGGCGCAGAGTCAAAAGCTAAAAATCGCGATTCGACCGGCGACTTGGTCAGACAAGGCCAGCGCCCGCGCCGCGACGGAGGCGACGATGCCGTGCATTGCATTCCGCTAGAAAACCCCCAAATCGCCAGGCGCGGCCGCAACTGATTAAGCAAGAAGGCGCAACGACAGCTCCAGCAAAAAGGTCCGAATCGCGCATTTAATCGAACGGCAAGAGCTCGAATTGAGCGGCGGAATCCCTTCCCTCCTCGCAGTCGCGCGCGCCCGTGCTGATTCGACTCCTATACTAAAGTCGGCCGAGATCAGGGGAGGGGAGGGAAGGGGAGGAGGTCTCGACCAGCGTACCCGGTGGGGTAGACGTCGCCCTGGAGCTGGAACACGGCGATGGACGACCTCGCCGGCGTGGCGGCGCGGGACGGGTTGGCGGCGAGCGAGAGGAGGAGCAGGAGCAGGAGGAGGACGCCGGCCACCGGGGTCCACCTGGAAGCCGCAGCCATGGCGAGGCGAGGCGAGGCGAGACGAGGAGCAGGGTGAGCGCCCGCCTGAAGCGGCTGTGGTTTCCTTTCTCCCCACCTTCCTCTCTTCTTGCTTCTTGGGATGGCAAGAGAACAGAGGAACGGGAAGAAACGCGGGGGCGTTATTTATAGCGCGGCAGCGTGGGAGGGAGAAGAAGGGGACGACGGCACAGCCGAGCACGCGGCTTGGGAAGCTGCTCCGCAATTTCTTTTTGTTTTTTTTCTCTGCTCTTTTATTTATTTATATTATGTAGATATTATTATATAAATAATAAGGATTTTGTGCCTTGATTTTTTAACACCCTAGGTGTTTGGCTCCTACTAATTGCATGTCATTTCATAAACATGTGCATTATCCATGTCATCATGCCATTATCATTGAAACATACGTATGCAACATTTTAAATTGTATGTGTTTCATGCTTGATTGCTTAGAGTGGTAGTAGTGCAACATATGAATGCAACATGAATTTCTCATATCTTGAAGCATGGCAACATGGTAGTAATGTGACAAGTATAGGATAACAACAAGGTCATGCAACATGTGAAACATTTTATTGAAACATATGTATGAATTGCTTGTTTTAATTTCTGTATCACATGTGATCCTTAGAAGTGGTATAACAATTTTGTAAATTGGTTGATCATGGTCTATTACACCTTAACTACACTTAGGTTACTTGTTGGGACATGGTTCATGTAGATCAAATGACCAAAATGCCCTCAAGTGAAGGTTTGACTAGAATTGACCCTAGGAGTCTCACTGTTTGACTGAGTCAAAAGTCCAACTTAGAGACTTTGCATGGCTGTGCACTCTTTACCAAAGTTGTAGCTAATTTATTAAGGAACAAAAGTCTCAATATGATCATTTCATGAAAATGCCTAGAACATGCTCAAACATGGCCCACAAGTCAGAAATACATGCTGATTTCAACACTGAAAAAAAATGCTAAGTCTTAACTGCATTTCAGTTGGATCGAGCTCACATTGGCTTCATGTAACTTCGGATCCATGGCGTTTTAGGTGTTGGTCATTGAAAAGAATTTGTAGAGGGAAGATAGGTCTACAACTTTGATGTTCAATTCCTCCACTAACTCGTCATGGATTAGAAGCAAATCATCGTCGAATACTTGCCGTCAGCGGTTCAAGTCGATCAATCGAAGCTACTGAAGACCACCGCTTTTCGTGAAAACGCCGGACGCGTGTCGCGCCCGTCGCGTCCGACGGACGGCCGACACATGGCCGCCATTGCCGGCGCATTCTGGCGTCCGCAGCCGTGTCTTGACGCCACCCCGCTACCGCCCGACGACTTCGCCCGCTCTTTTTCTCATTTCGCCTCCCACGCTTGCAGAAGAACAGAGCCGTAGCCGTCCGCCATTGCCGTACGCACCTTCACCTCCGCCTAGCTTCCACGCCAAGTTGTAAAACGCTGTTGTTCGCTTCACCTAGAGCTTCGCCGTGATCCCTTTACCATCTCCACCTCACCGCCGGGTCGATCGTGCCTCGGTAAGGGCGTGATTCGCCGCTTTTCCCCACCGCAGCCATGGCGGGGGCTCGCCGGAGTTGGCGCTCCTTGCGCCAGCGTCCTCGCACCATTGACGCCTCTTCTCTCCTTTGCGCTTAGCTTCGCATGTGTTCCCGATGCTCGAGAGCCGCCATTAGGGTCGAGACGCCGCCGCTTCACCGAGCCCGGCCAAGCCGCGACCGTCGCGCCGCCCGTCCGTCGCTACCCCTCTAGCTGCCGTAATCCCTGCAATAGATGGTACCGATTAGATGCGCCTTGTTGTGGTGAACGCCAGAAGCGCTGCTGGGTTCACGGAGAAGCCACCGGCGTTGAGCTTTGCTGCCGCCTGTTCTTCTCCCCCTGCTTCCCTCGCCGACGCTCGGGCCCCTCTTGTCAGCCGTCGTGGCTGAGGCGGGAGCCCAGCGTGGGCCGCGTCGCGTTGGGCCGCCGTGATTCTTCGGGCTGGCCCAGTAGCTGTGTAGGATTTTCCTATTTTGTTTTGTTTTATTATTTCACAGATTTATGTACATATTCAAAAATAGGTAGCTCTTAGATGGTAGATCCAAATGATGTGGTTCTAATTTTGTTGAGTTCCTAGTAATGTCTAGTATTTAATAAAAATATTATATGGGCACATGTTTTAGAAATTCTGGATTTATTAAATAGGACTTTGAAATGTGTTTTTGGATACATGCAAACTTGTTTGAATTTTATCTTGAGTTTCTGTGGTCCAAAAATTATGAAAATTTGTGGGTAGTCTATTATTGCTTATTAGAAGCTCTGGTTATAATTTCAGAGCTAGTGCATGTGTAGTTTTTAAGTTATAGAATTTCTTTTTATTAATGGGTGGATCTTGTGTGAATTTTCATAATTTTTCTATAGATCCAGTGGAGGTAAAATTTGATGAGTGCTATTCTTATGCTAGAATGATGCTAGGAAAAATGGGAAATCTATTGCTTGACACTTTTTAATAAGGTTTCCTAATTATGCTAGAAATAGACATGTCATCTGTTATTTTAGATACAACAAGTTTTACTTGCCCAATGGCTTTGAAATTTTTATGGTAGTCTATGTGCAGCATGAGATAGCTACTGTAATTTTGTAGATTTTTATGAATAGTTTTACTATATATTGCTTAAATCACCTAATTAACTAAATAAATTGGAAAAGGATATTAAATAAATTATTTAGAAGTTGGCACTATACTTTCTGATGTTTCTTAGGTATGAAAAACAAGTTGGTAAACTTGGATTGATCAAATTATGCTTTTGCCTCATCATTAAATAATTAAGTTAGCAACCCTGTCATTGCGGGACAGATTCTAGGTCTACTGGAATTTGATTTGGTTAACTTAAGAATCATGCTTTGATGTTTACAAATGAATTGTAGAGAATTTCATAAGCTTTCCAGAATGTCCTCTTGCAAGTCATTTGGATTTATAGAACTCTGGTTATGATTGAATTAAGTAACTACTTGTTTGCATATGAAGCTTTAACTGTAATTTTAAGTATGTCTTTACTAGTTCTAAGTTTGTGGTAATGTTCCTAGGTGTTAGGCCTTTAACTGAAGATGAGCATCTTTATCTTAGGTTATGCAAGTTAGGTAAGTTGCTCTTGTTATTTAAGTTAAGTTGGATACCTGCTTAAAGTGATTTGAATAGAGCTAATTACTCGGTAAATGAGTGTCCAGTGATGCTTTCGTAAACACTCACTGTGATTCATTCATCATGAGCATCATGTTATTCCTTATGCATCCATGATATTTATCTTTTGCATCGGCATGCAATAGGTGTACCGGAAGGAGTAACCCTGCTGGAATTCGAGGAACCGAAAGAAAAGCAAAAGCAATGACGCCGGAGATCCGTGGAGGAGCACCTTCAGAGAAGTGCCGACGAGGTCGCCGTTGAGTGCCCGGACCACCGCCCTTGCAACTTTGTGAAAGGCAAGCCCTGAGCATATTAAGCCTCCTAATTTCAAATGCGATTCTGATATTATTATTATATATATATATTGTTGCATTAAGTTTAGGTGTTGGATGCAAACCATTGCTGCATTGGTTACCCAATCCTTGTCCAGATATTGTTACCCTGAATCCTATGTAGCTCATGATCGAGTAGTGCTTAGCCCTGCTTAAACGCTGTAGAAGTCGGGTGATTTCACATCACCGCGAGATATAGGAAGATACATGTGGCACGGTTATTATATTTGCTATCGTGGAAAAGAACCAGTCTTAATTTGAAATGAAGACCGGACGGAGGCTTGCCGGTTTGTAGTGACTCCGTCTGTGTCACTTAAGGACTGATTCTTGGAGCCTTTCCTGTTCATGTTGAACGCATGCCTCTCTCTTAGTTGGCAGTGTCCGATGACCGACCGCTGGCCGAGTAGCTCACCTCGGTAGGGAGTCGATAAGTATAAAGTGCGCCTCGGAAGGGAGCCGTGAGACGTGAGTCAAGGCGGTGATTTAAAAGTCCCGATCGCCCCGGCGGAAGGGTAATCCACGAGAGTGTTGGCCGCCGATCGAACCCGCGAATTTGGTTTCTGAGTTGTTCCAAAGGTGACCCACGGCTACCCTTGCTAAGTATGCCAGGGTGAGAGTTAGGAATACCCCCTCAGCTGAGTTGTAATTCGATTCGAATCGCCATCTCTCCCGGTTAGTGAGAACTTGACGGGCTTATCTCCAATGTAGATGCACTTAATAACTTAATGGTTCGAAATGATGATATGATGATGACAAATTTATTATACCGCTATGGTTAATATTGTTTCCTCCTAATAAGTGAGTGCTCTAGTACAAAAAGCTAATCTAGTGGATGTAAATAATGATAAGCTTGATAATAAGTTTAAATTGGTTACTATAATCATAAGCCTTTTATGCGACGGTGTCAAGCTAGCCCACCTGAAAAGCCTTGCATGACACTTGGTGTCTTTTATTTCTGGTTTTGACGGGTAAGTCTAGCTGAGTACTTTCTCGTACTCAGGGTTTATCTCCCACCTGTTGCAGATGACCAGTTCTACTTTTGTTGCTGCAAGTACTGCCTTCTCCCAGCTGGGGATGAAGACTAGGCCGTTGGGCGCGGTCTCTACTAGTTCTCGTACCTGATAATGCTTTTGTGGGACATGACTCAGACTTGGCAATGTATTTGAAAACTATGATGTTTCGTACTAAACTATGTTGCTTCCGCACACTCAAACTTGGTTTGTAATATTTTATTTGAACTCTGATGGATGTAATCCGAATGCTACTTGTGAAATGTTGTAACGGATGATGTGTTGTGTTGAATTATTACGATCTTGGTTTGTATGTCGAGAGTTGGTTGAAATCCTTCGTGATTTCCGGACTACCTGGATTATGGGAGCTTAAGTATAGCAATTTGATCGCTTCGGTGATTGTTTTTGTACTTACGTTCTTATGATTTGGTCGGTTCTGTTACCGTTTTGGCCTTTTGGGTTTTGGAATTTTGTGGGGGAACGAGTGTGCT